TCTGACTCAGGATTGCACAGTTTTCATAGCAGACTAGAACTTTGGTATGGCTTGGCGCGGCAATTTGACAAATGAAACACAATGCAATACACCCCAAAGGGAATGTAAGAACTTTGAATGAAGCTTTCACCCCTCATTTATAACACATAATGTTAGGATATGGACTTAAGTGTCCCGATGGCAAGAAGTTGCAGAGGGAAAGTTGTGACCAAGCAAAGGCTCCATCAGCTCTTAATTTGAATTTTTGCAGGGTAAATGGTTTTGAGGAAAGGTGGAAACGGAATGACACACTTTTATTGCATGTTCGATGACGTTGTCATTCTATTTGCTTTTCTCTCTGACAGTATATCTTCTTTGATATTGGAAGGATTGGGAGAATCCGCCTTAGTGAGTGGGTCGGATTTGCTTTCGACACATTTTTAGGTGGTGCACTGCGATTCTTCCCAATCCCTTATGAGCTATCAATGCCGTGCCAGTGATTTATGACCTAATCGAAAATATTAGTGATTAAGTGGGAATAAATGGGGGAATTGATGGATAAAGTGGTTTGGCAACATCTAAATATCCAACGCGCACAATATGACGGCGTAGATTCATGACCTGTTAAATTCAATGTCACATCATGTCCTGTGTAGTCTTGTCAGTCGCCTAGTTACGCTCGTCTGGTATGGCAGTTACCGGGGGGAGTCGTAACATCGATAAATGAAGCTTTCATCATATCTTGAGTCCCCGTTAAATAAGCGTTCATTCGAACAAGCCACTCAACCGACTGGATAAATTGGTAATGGTAGGGTCAAGGTCAAACCTATTTAAGGGCGATTACAAGATATTTCACGCAGTATTTTGTCTTCGATAGCATGCAAGGTAAGTATTTCCTTGTTCCATATCCGGCATTTACCCAAACGAGTTCATGTTACCCTCACCTCTATATGGCCTAAAAGCTAGTTACCCGAAAAATTGCACATTCACACGCCTTTGGCTTTATTTAGCCGATTTTCATAAAAAAATGCAGTTCATAGTTAATAATTCCTTTACAACTAGGTTACTATTCAGCACCATACACTCAAGCCACCATACCAAGGCATATGCACTCATCTGGAAACTTAACCGATCAGCAGCCACTGCAGCATCCTGTAAGTGTAACATTGCTCCATGGCACGTTATTTTAGCCTTCTATATTCATTAAAATACATCTATTTTCTTTTGAGGCGCCTTCATGTGACTGAACTCTAAGCACATGAGTTCATAAATGACCGCGATTCTGATCAGATTTATAAATAATTGCCTTTTACCTTGTTTGCTAAACCAAAAGCTGCTTTGACCCTCTTTGCAATAAGCCGTTATCATTTGTTTCGTTCTTTGATTTTATCAGCAGACTGGCACGTTCATTTGGCCTAGTTATGTAGGCGAATCAAAGCCCCTTTCTTTAAACGACTCCGACCGATTTTTCTTATATTTTCAAGTATCGCCTCATTTCCTAGGGACCAAAGATTATTAAAATCTTCGAACATTTTATCGTTTGGATTCCTATACCTACCCTTAAGATACACAGACAGAGACAAATTAGGTAAACTTAAAGCAAATGTTTTACTTACCATTGGAATTGCATCCAAACACGGCTTTTCATAAAGACGTAAATCCCCTACACAATAAGACTGTCACTCATATCGTAGATTCTTGACGCCTAGGAATTATAGCTGACTGCTATTTTAATGTTGTATTGTCGAATTTGGCCATTTGAATTATTATCGGTGTGAACCAAATTTTTATCATATAGTGGGCACAGAATAATGGAGTGTCGCCTTCAACACTACAAGGTTATGTGAGCCAAGCCGGCGGACATGTTGGTGTTCACACAAGGGAATACTTCCAAAACGACATGGCTTTATCATTTTCTTCGCAGCCACAGCAACAGTGGTCATGTTTTCTAAACTCTTCGGCCAATAATAATGAGATGTTCCAAATCTCATATGAAGCTGGAAGTGCAATTTCGCTTGGTACAGAATTCCACCACAGATTCAGTGCACCGTCCATATACTCAGTCCCACCTTCCATTCCTCCCTCTTACATTTTTAGCCCTTTGTATGGTAGTACTTCTTCAACCTCACAATTATCCATGCGTGATCCGGTAAGAGCATTATTATTACTTTCGATACACCCTGATTCTTTACTCTCACAAGCTCAATGCGGACTATTGACACTAATTTAATGTCGCTGATTAAACTGGAGGGCAACATAGTTAGGGTCAAAAGATTCCGGCATCTTAACATCTTCTAGAAGTTGTGATATTTCTGAAACTCGGTTTATGCTTGGCCTTCCCTTATCTCTCCGAAGGGCGGTGAATGTGTGTGCTTCAAAGACTCCTTGAAGTGGCAGTGTCATGATCCAGTTTTAAACGGTACCTCAACAAGTAACGAAAGAACATTTGCAACTTTTTCTTCCGTGCACACTTGGTCAGCCCGACAAGGAAGGGATTTTGATGCTATAACGCCCAAACACCATGCTGAAGTCGATCGTGATCTCATCGCAGCCCCCATGAACCCTGCTCCCCAACATAGCAATGCCAATTCTGCTGTTGTATTAACCCAAAATCACCAATACCCCGATAATCCCATGCATCAGATGAAAAGGGCAACTATTTATTCAAAGGCGTCGGCTGGCACACAAATACCGGGTACACCAATGTCAATTTCAGGTTGCTCAATCAGGTCTTCAGAAATGCATGAGCAGAGTACCAACCCCCCTCACACCTTCGTATTTAAAAAGCCGAATAATTGGCTGTTCTCACAGGGCAGGAAGAAGAAAAAGACAACAAAATCAAAGGTAAGAATTTAATTTTGCTTTTGCTAATGAATCTTTTTTTTCGATATTTCAATGTACAATATCATTTTTTTACTTCTTTCTTCGTGCATTACCATTCAAAGAAATTCTCCACACATATTCCTCGGAATCGACAAAAGACCACACTAGAGAAAACTTCTAATTCTAAAGTCTCTGCTGGTGACACTGCCCCAATTGGTGAGCAGCATATTATTCAGTTCATTTTCTTTATTTGACAATTGAATGATCATCCGCGTCGTTTTTCTTCCCACCTCAGATGTTGCGTCCAATTCAATGAATTCGCTACCTCCGATTTCCACATTTTTGGAGGTATTTAAGCCTATCCCTACGTTTATTTGCGAGTGTATCGGGCATCCATGTAATAAAGACCCCTACGACATAGAGAATCTTGACGCCCAGTGGTAACAGCGACATTTGATAAAGTCCAATATGACGCTAATTGATAGGGTTCCTACACCATCACTTTTTCACCTTGCCAACCAACCACCACTTCCATTTAGTAGACAGTGTCAAATTTTCAAAACGATATTGTATACCAACTTTATGTGTCATTGCCAGCTATCGCGTTATTTATGAAATGAATAAAACTAACTTTTAATCGTTTCCAGGGGTTTTACATTTGTTTAATTCCCAATATCTGTGCAACTTTGAAAGGACGTAGGAAGCAACTTTGAAGCAGAAGATGAGTCGCCAAAGTCGTGGATCCTAAATCCAGTATTATCTTTAAATTTTGCTCTAGTCAGACCAAATTTGGTTTAAATCTACCATATTATACCCGTCTGATTTGATTTTATGCCTTGTTTGGAACCATTAGTTTTAGCAACTCTTATTTTAGTTTTTATAATACTCATCTAGGCTAAATAATTTTATAAGTTAAACTGTAAATAATGATGCTACCCACTTTTAAGCCATCCTTTTCTCACCGTGTAGACAGCCTATGGACTATTATCCGCAGATATTTTGTTGCTCTTGTAAAGTAAACAGTGGACTCTAGCATTGATCTGCGTATCTGACAGTTGCCAATAAATCCTAGTTTTTTGACACCTTTGAGGATTCCGTAATTAGGAGTAAGGAAATAAGTGGTATATGAAACATTTGATGTGAACACCAACTTATTATTGCGGACCATACAATCGTTACCTTTTGGATTGCATTTTAGCAAAGCACATTTTACTTTACCACTTTTTAGTACTTCGTCTAACTTTGAATGGTGCAGATCTGTAGTCGTTTTCAGCCATCTTGGATCGCATTTCATTCTAGGTATAATCAGCTCTTTAAAATCTCGGCAATGTTGTTAAAGAAATTGTTGCACATTCTGTCTTGTCAAGTGATTTGCCCTTAATCAGAATCTTCTAGGTAACAGAGTTCATAGCCATTGCTCCCCTTTTTTTCGATGCACAATTTTTCAAGCAAATAAAAACTTTCTATAGGAATCCGGTCACTGAACCGCCTTGGCTTTTGTTATCTAGTTACTTTCAAACGCATCCATCCTACGTTTCGAGATAACCGTGAAGCTTTCCTGATACCAAAATTAACCATAAAAATTCTAAGGAATCGCAGCCTGGGATAAGCAGCAATTTCGTGGAGATGTGCATTCATCAAAAATTCAAATCAAACGGGAAAAATTTATAGGGGAGATTCATATAGCAGTAGTTTTCAATCTGCGGTGGCCAACTGGGTATGTCAAGCTTTGATCATTCATCATGCAATAAATATTCATTATTTAATAAGGGAAGCCAGTAAAGAAAGGAGATGTTGGATTACTTGTGGCACAGCTAACAGTTTAATGATTTGGATTAAAGCCACGATTTGAAACGTATTACTTATTAAGTATCATGGTACTAATAAAGTTTGGTGAGGATTTTTAACACTCTGTAATGCTTTGATTACTTGTTTAACCAATCTATTTGATATAACAGGAGCGTAAATCTCAGCCGTTGTATTTACTTAAAGTGCCATGGCCTCACAAGCATTACAGCATTCCCCAGCCATTCTCTACGCAAGACTAATTCACATAAATACCATGTCGTATGAGGCCTAGCTGGCTACTAACTCCAATCTGTCCCTCCTTTCGTCAGTATTTGCACGATAAATGCAAAGGAGATGGTGAGTGCACTTTGGTGAGCAGTGCATTGTTGAAAGCACCGCATTTCAGTGTTATGTACATACCACATGATATACTTATGTTTGCTCTATTGTCTGCTGCAAAAATCCCAATGTCCCCTGTGAATGATGGAAATCATATCCATGTATGGGTGGAATATCCCCAACTTATCAAAGCGCAATGTGATTACAATTTGTCGATGTTGCATTTATTTGCACAATCTTATTGAGAAGTCGTTTTCACAGACTACTTCACAATATAGATGCAAAGGAAGTGCCTGCAAATTGCTTACCACCGAATGGACAGCGTCTTTTGTTTACCAAAATTGAGTCCTTGAAACTTAGCCTAAAGGAGACTGCTAACTCTCCTTAATTGGTCTGTCAGCTTACCATCTGGCTGATGAAACATGTGTGCTCTGGGTTGCAAATGAATTCCACGCCATTTTATCAGATGCGTTATGCATAAAGACTAAACAATTACCTGTCACCATATCAACAAGCCAACTTTTACAATGGTGGGTGTAATTTAAGTTACAGAATAAAAATATAGTAAAGAAATGAGTTGTAGCGGAAAATCCTGCCTTAACGTGAATGGGTTATGTGAAAGCTTATTCGGTCCCACAAGTGTGTGATTACAGCGGCGTTGCCAATCGCGTCAGCACAGTTTGTCACTTTCTTAGTGGGTTCGCCAAGATCCACCCATTCACACGCGCTGACAGATCGAAGCTCTCAAAGAAGATAAGCAAACTTTGAAAAGAAGTTTTGTTTCACACAACAGGATCGATGTATTGTAATTTTAATGTTCGACTGGGCAGAAGAAAGGCACAAAAGTTCCCATTCAAAGGTGGCTTCGAGAACATGAAAGTCTGGCATATATGCTAGGATCGAATTGTTGATATGAATAAGAACCAGTAGCCTTTTCCATCTTTACCTTCTCAAAGTACCATCTCTCCATTATATTATATGCTTCCTGCTCATAGTCAGNGTAAAACTTGTTAGGGGAGATATGCGGAGCTTTTTTCAGCAAGTGAACGTGCTCCTTGCCCAAAATACAAACAAGACGAACAAATTTCGTGTTGCAGGGTAAATCGTAACTCAACCAAATCACGTACTTTCCCAGATAATTCATGCGAGTCTCAGAGCTTGGTAAAGGAGCGATTTGACAGGCTTCAGGCAGCTTAAGATGTGGATTGAAAGCGAGGGTCGGAAAAAATAATTCATCGGGATGTTGATAAGCTTTGTGTCGTAGCATTATACTGCTTATCGGCTCTACTTTATCTCCCAGAATAGCCTCTTTTAGGAACTCACGACGGTACACACCGTAAATGGAGCCCTTGTACCAGGTGGTCTGAGATTAGACAAAAGTATTAATTGAAAAATGTTCAAGACTTTCAATGAATGGAAACAAACGTACTCCTAGTGGTAGCTTTGTATCCCCTATCCAGTGTCTGTGCTCATCAATAGGCAATGATTCGATGAGATTAGAACCGTTGAGAGCCTTCAAGGCAGCAACTAATTCCAGAATGGTTCGAAGGGGAAAATCCTGTCCTACCAAGTTGATAAGGTACTTCCACGAGGAATGTCGTTGAAGAGCTTGTATTCCACAGATCAGTTGTGGTAGTAGTACGCTCTCATCACCCCAGCTCACCTTGACAAGCTGAAAGAGTGGAACTAGTTCCACGTTTGGACCAAAACACTTCACGATGCCGTTCAATGCATCCACGAAGGTCTGGTTCGACCGCAAATCAGCGTGAATGCAGTAGTAGTTGTTCTTGCGATGAATCATTCGCATTAGTCGAGCTATCTGTAGAGGATCTCTGTGGACCACTAATGCGAATGCTATGTCCATATCCCCATCCCTTTCATCTGCAATGATAAAGTTCCTACCGAATCTCAGGCACCTCGAATGAAGGGGCGAATCAACAGTAGTGAAGTAGTCCAATTCCTTTTCCGCTTCTTCACCAACTGCTCTTTTCCTCCAGAGTGTATTGACATAGAGAAGAATGAAAGCCGTCGTTGTTAAACCTAAAGCCGCATTTAGAGCGACTCTGCCTTGGTAATGGATGCGCATAGCAATGTCTGCGAAAGAACGAATCGTCAATGACAATCAATTTTTCAAAAGTTATTTTGAGCTTTCCCGACTTGAGCCTAATGGATAAATGCAGTAAAACGGCATGCTTATCTTTCAAATTTACCGCCTCAATTCATCTACTTAAATGTTGATGCCATTGGCTAACTTACCAGAGGGCTGTTGGAGTGAATGCCGATGAGGCTACGAATTTACATATGGAGATTTTCAAAATGCCACCAATAAGAATGGGGTGAAGGCCTAATCCCCTCTACAACAAATGCATGAAAAGTGAAGCCAATGTTATTTGACTGTATGCTTATGCAAGTGTAAGGTAAAGTGGATTCGGCGGCAAAGTAAGGTGGTAGTGGGGAGTGGGTTGTTTCTGGCTTTCCTACGAGACAACTCTACATTTATGCTTTGTTAGAACAAAAGAAAGCAGGGTCCTTTTTATCTATGCAAAGAAATATGGCGTTGTGGACGTAAAATTATTCCTCTATTCGCTCTCAGCTTATTTGTAAAATTTTAACTTTGAAGTCATCGGGAAAATTGCGTCACATAGAGGTAAAACCATTTGGAATAGCAAATCTGATTATTTTTTCAATATAAAGAGGAGCTATTTCTACGTTTGACATTCAACAAATGCTGGAAAATTTACTTCGGTGGATATGGCGCCACTCTTCGCGCACCCTAGGAGGGAGAGGTGCAAACAACTAAAAGTAGGTTCAGAGGCCATCTGGATTTCCCCGCTTAACCTCTTCAACCTGTAGGCAATTACGCCTACTCATAGGTGCAACATGCAGTGTCAGTGAATTTGAGAGTTCAAAAAACACCTTTTATACGTTTTAGTGGAATGAAATTGTCCTTCAAAAGATTTGAGTTCACCAAAGATTCTCCTTATCATTTTGCTATCATCATCATTCACAGAGGCGGCATAGCGTTAATGTCATACTCTTAAAACTGTACAGCTTGTCATAGTGGCATGTTTTGTTGTGTGTATTTGGTATTGGAGTGTTTTTACATTTTGAAGGATTTGTTTATGTTGTAGTGGTGATGATGGCTGCACACTTTATTACCCAACTGTCGCATGATAGAATCTCACACACCTTGTGGTGGTGCGTCGTCCCCAACGAAGCTAAAGCTAAACATCATCTCCTTGTAACACTATTAACTCTTCCATACGTCGACAATACATTTTCGGTTCCAGTATTATGACTTCTGTTGTGTTTGAGTAAGCCTCTAGGAGCATCATTGATTGCAGCTGCAAGTAAACCCTGTTTCAAAGGACATCTACCCTGACATCTGTTACCAGAAGTGTCTGAAGTAGTACATATGGTGTGGAGGAGAGAATCTGTGGTAACCTTTAACAGAAGTGCTACAAGTGGTCTGCATCGTCGACTAACTCAGTCTCGTGCTCTGCAGGAATGCTAGTTACAACTGTAGCGACACTAGCCGTGTCCGTGAGCCATCTGATAATGGCGACGGCAGCTGTGTGAAGATGTGACACCTCCTCCACAACTTTACCAGCTGTGTTGAACTTAGATGAATATGGATGTAATGCAGAAGTGAGAACGAATTGTTAGAGAAGAATGGATGCGAAACACTATCCACATGAAGCATTTTTACACCCCATCTTACATAAAATTACTCTGCTTTTAGACTTTTGTGCCTGGTGACAGGTGCTGGCAATAACCACCCCATTCCTCCCTTCCCCAATACACTTTTCAAAAAGAACTAAGCTCCAGAACCAGTGGAATTGCCCAGGTGCACCGTTGACGTTGCAGCCAACTACCTTCTTAGCTGCACACAAATTTGATAACTGATTCGTGGGTGTTTTTGTTTTTAAGGTACTGACTACGCTTCAATGGCTGACACGAAGGGTAGCCGAGACGAGCGTTGGGACGACGTTCAAAAAGAGGAGAAGACTGTGCAATGTCTTGATTGCTTATTTAATTCGCCGTTTTGATTCCGAACGCACTGAAGTCCCCCCATTGTACTTTCGCAGGGTGCCGTGGCCTTTCACACAAGTTAGTATGCCCCAGCTCTTCTGTGCATAGGCAATGCATATTTGGCCTCAGAAGCATGACCTCTTCCGTCTTCATGATTGTCTCGAATAGCTAAAATTACACATGTGCGCGTTATTTGAAAGGCCGAGACGTTGTCCGAGGAATCACGTAGGAGCCATATAAAAGGGCTATTCGTAGGCGTGGTGTTTAGCTGCATTCACGCCACTCTGTCACGAAAAATCCTCAGATATATGAGCATACCCTTTACCCAGGTGTGTAACTGCAATTACAGGCCTTATGTTTTTCAATTAAACATTTTTTCTTAATAATGCTTTTGAAATTTTGAGAGAAAAGTGTTATGTCCGACTTTAAAAGAGAAATGCAACGATGCACGCGGCATCAAGTAATTTATTGCAGGCGTAAAGAGGATTAAGATTCCTAGAGCTCTATTGAGAGGTAAGTGTAAGCAGGTATGATTTATGCTTAAACTTTCTGATCAAGCACTTTAGCTTGAGGTGTGATAGTCGATTATTTTCTTGTAAACTCGTTTTTTCTATGCACTCCTCGAATTTAATAATAGGGCAGAGATTATAGGCGCTTCATCAGCAGTCTGTTGTTTGATAATTTTAATAAATGCTAGTAATATTAAGTACTGGAGATGCTTGCAACTTTAAAAAGCCTTCGTTTCTCTATCGTCAGTTAGTTCTTCTTTTTCGTAGCCACTTCTCTGACATCTGAAGAAGCCACACTATGACTGGCTGGTATAATGTGCAGGTAAATCTTTAAAATGCTAATAATCCCTATAAGGCCAAGGTGAATAACATCTTATTGATATGAGAGCCCAGGCTTCCAACTTTCTTCACCATTCGACCAGCAATTACGTACGCAAGCCATGCCTCCTGCAAATGGCCACTTCTGGAAAGGTTTTATCTCCTGATTGCTGGGGTAGGATTTCGATAAAATTTGAGCTCAAACCTGAGTACTACGTCATAATACTAGGTATTAGAGGATTCACAACGATAAAATCCTAATAAAGAAGTTTCGCTTTTCAGGTCATGTAAAGAAACAAAATGACGGAATTCGATTATTATAAGCGCAGTTGCGCAAATGACTGGCAGCTCACACACCAATGAAGTCGCGTGTGATGCCTTGAACCCAAAAAGACATTTGCAAAGGGGTCACTCATATACGAGTGCATTCAGAAGTTTCTTGATTTTATTAATTTCACACTTCTAAAATCCATTCACCTTCACCAATGTAAGCGATGCTAAAGAATGCAAAACTTTACAATTCTTCTTTGTTTAGCTAATTATCTCAAAAAAATGATTTTTAAGGTCCTAAAAGTTAACTTTTTGCTAAGTTGTTTTTTAAAAGAAAGTACGGCCTCCATTCTAACGACACGTAGATGACTTTAAACATCTTGAAGTGGAATGTGACAATGATAACAATGAAGACCTTACTTCAATTCAAATCAAAATGTGTTTGTGTTGCTATTAGGAACTGTAACCTCAGGAGCAACAAACTGCGCTTTTTGCTCTTTAGCAAGTACTCTTTGCACTATTAAAGCAAGGAATAAGTCTCAAAGCCATGATTTGCCTCAAGGAAAAAGGGGATCCTAGACTCACTATATCGGATTCGTATTGTCCATAATTAAACTAACAGTTAATTGTCTGACCTTGAAAATGTATCATTAGTAATTTGGATTAAATGGCAAATTTGTGCCTATTAAGAAGGACTTTGTTAATCAGTAAAATGGGGGTTTAGTTCCCTTTAACACTATAGTGGCCTTTCTTTTATTTCTCTTTTCGTCAATGCTTTAAAAGGCACCACATAAAGTTGTCCATCACATTCATCAGTACAAGCACGTGTGAACCAAGTAAAAAGATACTGCTTACAAAAGTTTAAGTAACTGTGTCAAACCTTAAAACCTACCAAATTGAAGCATTTGATGTTGCCTATAAGGGTACACATGGTTTCGGCAGTAAGCGAATCTAAAGCTATAAGATCATACAGACGATATTATTATTTCATCCACCTCCAATTTTCGACACAGTAATCTCAAATTGTGGCTAAACTGGAAGATAACACCTTTAATGTATATTGGATACACAAATATATTTCTAGAGTTGTGAGGCTTTTATTATTACACAAATGTGCATAATTCGGTGCAGAAAATTGTTAAAATGAGACCTATTCTCCTAAGTAATATGTAGAATTGTGCATTTGGCCTAGATGAGGCCTGATAAGTTTAGGTGTAGGACATTGTTAAAACACTTTTAGTGAGTACGTCGATATTATGAATTTGGAACAAAGTGGGCTAAGCAACCGTAAATGTGAAAGTTTTGAACCAAGAAAGTTTACAGAACAATCCGTTTTAACGAAAAAGTGGATTCGATGCTGATTGCAACCATCGCATTGAACAAGTCGATGCCATTGTGGTGCCGGCCACCTTCATCTTAAATGAATTTTTTGCTCATTCTTAGGTGGTATATTTCACAGTACCACATCAGACGCCTCTGTAAATACAATTAAGGCTGAATTAAGTTTGAATGTCGCTTTTATGTTATTGCGACTTCACTCATGGCATTCTAACTAATCTCATAGGTTTGACCCACACGTATTGAATGTTTCAATAATGTGCTAAACGGAAAACAAGCTGGCCAGGTTTTCATCGCCTATTTCCTGGTGAACGAATGTTCAGGTGTTAATCCTTTCCATCCGATAAAGTTGCGATCAAGTTGGCTAAATTAGCGAATTTGATTCATGGCGTTTCCCTCGGACATTATGACACCAATTCAGCAGTCACGAAATAGCATAAGCACATAGATATACGATTTCGCTGCTGAATATTGTGTAAAACCTCCAAAGTCTTAGCTTTGATGTAATGAAATGGAATTCAACGCAGGTTTCCTGCTGCGAGCTGGTGCAAACCGGCGCAACCAAGAGGCAGGACTTAGGGGAGTACGAGACTTTTAACTCCAACAAGGTGAGCATGGTCAAACATATCACACAATCTTCTTTCACGTCCATTGGCTGGAATGTTTACAGTGCTTTGATTGACTGTGGCTATCTACGCGAGTATTGGCCATTTAGGGTGAAGCTAGTATGAGAGCCAACTGCGGAATAGTCCACGATGTTCAAGAATGGCAACTTGTGGAAAATCCTGGAGCTCGTAAACAGAAAAGCTATTTCTGGGGTTGCAGGCATCCACAGCATTTTTGAGTTACTGTTCGGCAGTGACTACTGTATCACTCACGTATACTACTACTTGGACTTGTGGCAAACTGGCAATAAAACGCCATTCCCATATGAAATTTACCAGTTATCTCCTAACGTCAGCCTCTAAAATCTTTCGTACATGGTGACCCGTGGGAATTCATTCATCTATGGCCACAATGCACGTCATCTCTAAGGTAAAGGATGGTTATTTTTCCAGAAATCTGTTTCGAAGAGGCCTCTGGACATCAGATAACTGCATACAGTTGCATCCACCAAGTAGAAGGTCTAAGTATCTCCTAACCTGTTATAAATGACTTATCTCATTAAATTTTCCTGGTAGCCTTGGGTGTGATGGTGAATGGTGACCTTAGCTTTTCAAAACACGCTTTTCCAGTCCTCCGATTCACAATCTCGACTTTTCATATTTGAATTGGCAACGAATTCACTGCATTGTTTGCTGTTTCGACTTAAATTTGCTCCTTTGTTGTAGAGAATTGGACAAAAAGATGCATTAATTAATTTAAAATTTCGTTTAAAAAAGAGATTTATTCTATTAGAGTGATTCAACTTTGTGAGTAAAAAGCTAGTATTTGCTACTGTCTTGTTTAAGTTACTTACCTATTTATGCCTCGATATTACGAAACATCCTCCGTACCATGTTAGTCTGGATCAAAAAACTATAGGTACACAAGTAAACAACACCTAAATCTATTAATCTTACCTACGCACCTGAGGACCCACTTTACCTCCCTAACAACTACGCGACAGCCCCGGTTACGACTCCAATCGTACATCGTCTGGATGTATCCAACCCTCCCAGTGTTAAGCTCTTTCTGTCACATTTGCAGTCTACTTGTTTAGCGGAAGGTCATTAATCAGGGGGTACATGTTAGCGCATAATTTGTGGATAATCTGTGAAATATGGTTTGTGGGAGTGAACACTTGCAAAGACAATAATTTAAGTTGCAAGCCCAACACATGGCTGCGAATCTTAGCAGTCCAAATCAGCCCTCATTTGATTTCACGCTTCTAGCAACATCAAGTTGAGGGAAGCGCAAATCTCTACCACCAACTAATAACGCGAGTTTAGGTCTTATGAGGTACTTTGCGCCCCAAAGCACCGAAGTCCGTGCGCCTTTTAGACTTAACGGACACAATTGGCACGTGTGTTTTGTCTGTGCATCAAACCAGGTTTCCATTTGGCATTCAAACATTGCTATCTAGTTCAAGGCGAGATTACTTCGGCTGAGGTGAGATTTTAGCACAAAATTCCACTGGTTATATCCTAATCCAACGCATTTGTACTGGTACCTATAGCGTCTAGGAAAGGCAAGTCCCATTGACGTTCCATAATTATTTAATGGATAATTTATAAATTCTGAGCGCGTAAAAGATTAAGTCGCTCGATTAATGTCCCGCAACTTTAGTTAAACACAAATTTTTGTTTATTTAACGACCATATTAAATGCCACATTTTGAAGAGTTGACAATGGTGAAAGCCTATCCAGTAGAATGACTCAAATAAACTGAATGACTGTAAGTTCATTTTTTCCTCTATAAATTTATGTCATTTAAGGGGCAAATTTCTCCCTTTAGTAGAACTTCCAAGGCTACATTTTAAGTTGTTTGAATGAACGATCTTAGGCATAAAATATGGCCATGGAGCCATTGGAATTCTGTAGGTGCTTTTAGACTTGGTAGATTGTTAGTGTGGTATAAACGGCCTTATAATTCCGTTCCAACATTCGGCCTTAAAGATTTGTGTCCATCTAAACACGAGCGTTTAGTCTAATGGCATTCTGTTCATTGATTTCTTGGCTTTGGACAAACAGTTTTGCAGCCATTTTTTAACCTTTTATAACTTTGTCTGCAGTCATGGAAACATCAAAAGCAGCATGTGAAATAAAAATATACCGGACAAGGATATTTGAGAAATGCATGAGTTAACTAAAAACGAATTCAGAAAATGAAGTCCTCATCCTTTCATCCGTGGTTGACAGTTATTATGTAGGGAACTGGGTGTGCCTTTCTATGATCGCCTGATAATGCTAATTATCAAGTTTTCACCTCTGACATTTTACTATACGCCGAGTTCACAAAAACGTAACTGGAAGGTATAAATGTCCTGCCATTTATTAGGTCCCTCTACTTACGTGTACATAGAAAATGCCAACACTCCCATCCTCAATTGGGAGGTTTCATTTTTGAGGGCATTCTTGTAAGTCATTAAGGATTTAACGTCCTACAACACTTTTTAAGGTGTTGCTTATCTGCATATCTATTTAATTTTCCCGATTTTGAAGGTTATTAAACGAACTTCCGGTGACACCAATCCATACCCTTAGAATAAACGCCTTGAAGATCGAAAAATGTAGGATGTAGTAGTGGTCATTTGAATAGGTTCCCTTATCATCAATTTAGGGAGGGTTGCTTGGTTCTCGCATGAGAGATTAACCGTAATTGCACCCGAATTTCATACTAAAATAAGGATAGCTACGACTCTGGTAATACCTCCTTCCTGTTCGTTTTTTGGTCGGTAGGTAATTGTTTCAGTACGTCTGAGTGAAATTTTGTCAGTGATCGGGTGTTTCCAACGAGAGATGTAAATTTTAAGGAGACGGATCAGTTCTAGATTATTTAAGCCAAAAAGGGGTAAGACTTAAGACTTTTCGTAGTGCTTTATTAACTTGGTTAACTCCCAATTTTGGTAACGGACCACTTGAGGGCTCAATATTTGCACCTCTACCGGGCGGCTTGGCCTTTGGGCTATGCCAGTTGCCCCTCCGCTCATCTCTAGGTCAACATCATGCATTCTGTCTGACTACTGTGCCTTCTTTCGATTTCAGTAAAACATCAGACCACTACATCTATTAAACTAAAAATTACTGTTTACAGAATAACCCGGGTGCCTTGTTTGATTGTCTTCATCGGCATAGAAATGTGATGTTTGGCTTAGGGTTTTGTCGTTTTCTTTACATCTTCCCCACCGACTTGTGTAGACATTCTGCCTTCACAATTTCAAAACTTTTTTCTGAAGTAAAGTAAAATTATGGCTATGACCTACCAGGGCTGTTTAATTTCTTCTAGACGAAAAGTGCAAACAAGTAACAATTAGAAGCTGCCCCATTCAGGTACACAAAGCGGAGGCAGAAGAGGGCTGACTCATATGGTGGTGAAAACTTGAATTTGCTCCCACACCTTCGTGCGGCGTTTACACCCCAGCGATTTAGTTAAACATTATTCTGCTTAATGTAAAATTTGCTTAGAATCTCAATTCTGAGAGTAATTACTCCATGATAGTCCAGTTCTACTAGCAACATCGAAAACAAGTAAATCAAGACCACAAGTAAAAGTGATTGTTTTATAGTGAACGGTTGACTTTATTTGAAAATAATACCGAAAAATTTCCCATTTAAAATTCGTTCAAACTCCTTCCACCTACCTACAGAGAGACAGACAGACTCACACAATAGCATGCTTTGTTGTGGGTTGTGCATTAATCAGGTTTATGGAAGAAGCCACCAAAGCTGCAGTTGCATTTGGTGGAGCAGACAAGAGGCTATAAACAGAGTTTGAGGCATTCCTTCGTCTAGCCAGCTCCTGATTCCTTATTAGAGGGGTTCCGTTTATCTTAAGGCGGCTCAGCCTCTTCCCTCCCGGTGGAGGTCGAGCCAGGGGCAAGTAGGCAGGATAGCATCCCTCTTGCGTGTAAATATGCTGCAGTGACATTCTCGATGGTGCATAAACAATGGCAGGTTTAACCGGCTCTTTGGCGATTTCCTGTTCCTTTGGGGGATCAGAATGAAGTCCAAAGTGAAGACAGACAAATATTAGGGCGGAGATGAGAACACCGGTTAGAAGAAGGCCTATAGCGATACTAGTCAGTACCCATCGATGCGTCCTTCGAATAAATGTGAAAACGGGACCTTCATTGGCAGGAAGATCCGGGATCATAGGCGTAAAATTCATGGTTGGGGCTGCTGTTGTCTCCAATGAAAGCGGTAACGGCGATGTCTTCTCACAAAAGTTCTTGCTCAAATGCTCCATTGCGCGAAGAACAATCCGACTCCCTACTAAAGGATCGTTTGCACACATTTCAATGGCTCCGTTGCCAGGTACCTCCTGGGGAATCGCAAGATGTTTCAAGTCAGGATGGGTCAACTGAGTCAGAGAGAACAGCACTACTGGAAGGCTGCCAGCCTGGAAAAGGTTATTATTTCCTTCTAGTCTGAGTTCTGTGAGAGCAGAGAGACCCTGAAAAGCCGTAGGATCAATCCAAGTTAGACGATTTTTTGCGAGATTAAGAACCCGGAGTTTGGTCAAAACTGAGTGCTCTCCACAGCCACCAGCCCATTGGCAACCAGAAATTTCTGTAAGGTAATTGTTTGCCAGATCAAGGATTTCTAGTTTTGGCACTGAAATCAGTGGTGACTCACCACCGGGAGACTTTATTCCAAGTGCGGTTTCCAAAGAGCCCGACAGCTGGTTGCCGGAAAGCCGAAGAAGCCTTAATTCTGATAACTCGAATAAACTATCTCTGTAGAGTCTGGAAATTTTATTGTTTTGGAGGTAGAGATTGTGCAAGACATGATTTCCGAAGGCCCCCAGTTGATGTAAGTCCATTAGTTGGTTGTTGCTGAGATCTAGCGTAGTCAACGGACGAGGAAGGGGTTCCAGAATATTTTGACCCAGACGCTCTAATGCTTTACTGTCGGTAATCGAGAGCAGTTGAAGATGAGGTAGAAAGAGTAAGAAGTTTCGATCAATAAATTGCAGTTTCTTAGAGCGGACAACAAGACGTTCCAGATTATATAACGGTTGGAAGACATCGCGCTGAAGCCGTGATAGTGGACCGCCGTCCCAAATCGCGAGGACACGTAGATGACCACAATGCGAGAAAAGAGAAGGCTGCAATACTGTCTCTTTTTTGTCCTGGTCACCCATGATCTCCAAATGTAAAGTGTCCCAGGTAGTAATGCAAGGGATGATCTTAGCCTCTGGGTGAATCCAACATTCTGCAGTCAGTTTGGAGCTGTTTCCTCCAGCTGGGGTCTCCTCGCATCTGACGCCTTCAACGTTCACTGTACCAGCCTTAGAGACTATGAATTGCAGAAGGAGAAGGCCGAAATGGAACTTCATTCCACTTGGTGACAGCAGTCCATTACTCAGAGGAGTGGCGAAGCACGCGAATGCCAGTATGGACTGTTTACATTGTGGCACAGAAAATACTCTTCCCTAATTGGCTGATGAGGGTACGCACAGATGCATGCGCGCGATAGATGAGAGTGTACCAATGTGCCTATCAGTATGGTCAATCTTTTAGTCACATTCGCCTAATTTACCGACTTTACGCCTTAATTTATCAGCCTTTATGGATAACTTTGCTAATTTGTAGGAAAGTCGGATCTGGAAGACGGCTTCATTTATAGACACTAGTACCATGAGCTCGCTTTCAAGTTGGGAAAAGAGAATAGTTCAGATGTGTTGCAGAAAAGGGTGCAGTGCTGTTCGTGTAATGCACTGATTTAACCTACCCAAATGCAAAAAACAGAAGAGCGAAACAGAGTTTCTTCAAAATTTTTTGAATAATTTCTTTACTGGCATTCGCGTAAATCAAGCATGCATTGGGCATATTTTCTTCAACAAATATTTCAAAAGGTTTACTGGGGTTAAGCTGACTCTTTCTATCATTTGTTGATCTTTTTATCCAATTTAGGATCAAGTCAGGTCTCTCGCGTCCATGTCCTCCTAGGGGGTGTATTTATCTGCAAAAAGCCGACAGAAAAAAAAGCAGCGATATAAAGTGTCATACTGCTAATCTGGGAGGCAAAATCACTAAGATAGAAGAACCCAATTAAAAAAATATATACATCTTAAGCAAATGTAGGTCTGATGGGGACAGGCAGTTAAGTAATCATTCATTAATCACATCTTTGCTGAGCTCTCTGTTATTTTTTAAAACCTAACTCTGAAGAGCATTTCGATCTTGAAAATCGAGGGCTGACAAATTTAAGCTTCAAAAGAGACACCGGTCTTCCTATTGTGCCTAAAAAATTTTGACCTTTTTGTATGACTGCAATGCTTTAATTATTTTTTAATCATTCGGTTTGGTTTTGCTGGCACTTAAGGTTCCGCCTTCGTGATTCCCCTGGGATGCAGGATCTTCGGTCCATGTCAGATATTCTGCACGCCAGTAATAAATGTACTGCCCTGGTATTTTGACTTCTCTCGTCATTAGGAAAGACTCCAGCATCTTCATTGGTGGCAGAAAAAGGCGATCCCCATCCTAAAGGCCATCTACTCCAACTTCTATTGCTAAATGCCAAACATTAACTTGACGGAAAAGGGAACATACGACAGATTGACGAATTTGTGACGTCTATCTTTGGTAACTACCTCCGTCCCGTGTTCAGCGAAAATGATACTAATAACTGAAGAGGCACTAGCCGCGAACCATCCGGGTAGGCTCGTTGCAAAGCTACCTCCGGTACCTGTATGAAGATGTTAATTAAGCGAATACGCGATACCTCCACATCTCTACTATCTGGAAAGAATCCAAATAAATGTCAGGGCAACACTGAATTGAAGACAATGTAGCAAGGGTAAATAGACGCACAAATCTTATCCCCAGGAAACTATTTTAAACTCTCCCCTTCATTAAGACTACTTTTACGGTAGCGTTCTTACGACAAGCGATGGGCTTCCTTGATGCCCCCAACAGAATTTCCAAACAGGCGGAAACTTCAGATCCAGTGGAGTTGCCAAGAGGGATCTTTGAGGTTACAGTCAGATATATTCCCAGTTGCACGCAAATTTGATGACTGGAGCGGTTGGCTCGTGCGAGTGTTTTTCCTAAAGCACCGACTACGTCGTAATGACCAGCGCGGGGAGTTGATCAAAGGGAGCGATGGGGAAATTGTTCAAAAGGAGTCTGGGGCTATGTAATGCTTTGATCACTTTATCCCCTCGTTTTGATTACGCGGAGGGTAAATGAGACTCTGCCGTCGTACTTCCGCTGAGCGGACTCCAGGACACGATAGTGGCTTCCCCAGCCCTTTCATACATCGGTAATACATATTTTGTCTTGATATGATGACTTTCTTCGTCTTCAGAAAAGGCTTCGTGTGCCACATAATTAACTGCCATTTACACAACTATTTTCCTCGTTCGCCTTTTGAAATTGACTCACCCTGCATCAAATTAATCATGTTGCTGCTACTTGTGCCTGCTAAAAAGTAGTCATAAAGCACATTGACCCTCTTATCCTTTTTTAAACTTACACAGTTAGGAACCCCTTGCCTTGACGTCTTACCTGGTTAATAATTCTAGCTTAATTAAAGCCGTCAGG